ATTTTTGGATGATAAACATTTGTATCAGGTCAACAAAATATGGGCATAGTAACAATATTTTTTTACTACATGTATCTGTTTTAAATATACTAACCTCTCTCCTTTGTAACAACTAAGGCAAAAATGTAATTAATTCAGAAAATCTTTTCAGGACCCCCACAATGATGTTTCGGGACCCCACTTTGGGTCCCGACCCCAACTTTGGGAAACACTGATATATAGGTTAGATATTTAACTCCGATGTGTTGTGGGTCCATTCCAAGTTGAAAATAATATTTTATATTTCACCTTTCAGATGGACCAGAGTGGATGTGTCCTMACACATACACCACGCTAGAAAACTCTTATCACAACCTCACATGCTCTGTGGGCTTTCCTAAACCCAAGGAGATCTGGTTCCGCAATGAAGAGCAGGTGGAACTTCCTCAGATCCTGACAAGAAGAAATGCAGGGCAGTACCAGGTCAAGGTTTCAAATGTCCTGTCAGTTCACAACTTCACAATCAATATCAAAGTCTTATGTAAGTTACTGACCCATTCCTCTTGTGCAGAATATTTTTCTAACATCAGTAGATGTTTTTTTTTCTTTCTCTCATGTAAGTTGCTTGAACTGTTTTCTGTAGACCCACCATCAGAGATTTTTGAGCTTGATGATGCTGAAGTGAACGCTGGTGACAGTTTGGAGCTGAAGTGCTCCTCTGTAGCTAACCCAACACCAAACTACTCCTGGAGTTACTACCGGGGAGCCAACGTGTTCGAGGAAACTGGAGCTGGAGTGTCTCGTCTGGTCATCCACAGCGCTGCTGGGAACAACACGGGCTACTACACTTGTCGAGCCTGGACTGAGCAAGGGGACGTCTCCAAAACAGTCCGGGTCACAGTGAAAGGTAGGACGCGTGAACTTTAGTCATGTGACTAATGGGATCTTTTCCAGAAATGTTATTGAGCTTCGTGGTACACATGAAAAATTAGATCTACTTTTTGTTTTCTGTTGTTTTAGTTCCAGCTGTTCTGATTGTTCTTTCAGCTCGCTGCAACTAGAGAACTCTGTCTTTTAGTTTTATTCTCTCATTGATGTGATTACTTTAGGAACACTGCGTGTTATAAATGAGTGCAAGAAAAGAAAAGATTTAAAAATGAGTAAAACTGATCTTTACTTTTAGATGTGCATACATTTAATATGTATGCTATGTTAGTTGCATTAAATGCCTCATTATAAATAAATTAAAAAATAAATAATAAAAAAACGAAACTAAATTTCTCCAGAATTTTGCTCAAGTTTATGTTAAATACTGTAAGTACACATTTATGGTTAATGTGTCCTCAAATTAAACAAATTTAGGCCAAATTTRTAACCAAATGCCAACTACCATGTGTGTTTGCATTATTTTGAACAGAATCTATGAAATTATAATGT